ATATACATATACATATACATATACATATACATATACATATACATATATCGATATCATCAATATTTTCCATACTTTCCCATTGTTTGTATTTACGTCGTTGAACGTTGCTCGACTACGCACTGTCCGGGTACGAGAAGAGTGTCATAGACTCCGCTCGTGGAATGCACCACAGCGACCATTTAAAAATCAGCCGAGTATCCGGTCCGCTTGCAAAGTAGCGTTTGCGTATGCGTGATTAGCTAGTTGTGTACTAATTTTCTTTCTACAAATAAATTTGATTAATAAATTTATTTTGGACAAATTAATGCGATAACGATAAGACACGTCTGCGAGACAAGACGGTACGGTACGTATGTATCGGATCGACTAATTTTAATAAGAGGCGCGCGACTAGAGTGTCCCGCAGAATACAATTGATTAAATTTGTTGCGAACTCTATCGCACTCTTCTCGCGATAGGCTTCGTATTCATATTCTTCATAGACACGCGGCTACGTTTCAATTTCCGTCGCTTTCCAAAATAACCACTTTTAATTAATCCGCATTAATCGGGCATACAGGGGGGTCTTACTCGCATCTCCTTATCGGGGGTGTATCGTTGTCCAATCTGGCAGTTTTACCTCGTCGACTGTGAATTCTAAAATGTTCTATCCATTAAGCAAAATCTTGTATATCGCGCATAGACGCAAACGTATCGATTTTTCAGCTAAAGACAAATGAAATTCAGATTCGAGTAGAGATCGCGCGAAAAGTTACTTAATATATAAGGACGCGAAATTACCGTTACACTTATTGTTAGTTTCTTTCTGTTTTCGCAATACATACCTAGACTCGCTAATGTAGCATCGATCGTCGATCATCAATATTTTCTTATTGCTTTGAACTATCTTGCCAAAAATGAAATTAATGAAACGTTTACTAATTATTCGTACGACTAACAAGCAGGAATTGTACTCGATAGATTGTTGAAATGTCTATTTACAAGTAAACACGATCAATCATTTTTAACCCGAATCTATACGGTTCTATCCTACGTTTGTAAACGCATTCACTGACATATATGTACATTTATTTGTCTTCCTTTCGTATTATCATTGTTCAGCGACGGATAAATATTCGTAATGTACGAAATGTTTGTGAAATGTACTCGAGGAATCCGTAAAATTGTTTATTATGGTGGGAAAATCGTTTTGTAAAAATGGTTGTTTATAAGCAGATGTTTAAGTTAGACGATATGTTGAATTGTAAGTGATTTTTTTTGTTTTTTTTTTTTTTTTTTTTTTGTTATATGTATAATGTTACATTAATGTAATATTACTTTAATGATTCTGGACGATGTTTAATAATATTATGATAATACAATATAATGCCGTCTTCTATAAATCTATTGTACATACGTATGTAGCATATTTATGGGTAATGTATTATCTATTGTATAAAGAAAATTTCGTATTGTTTAAGCGAGCCTTGAAAATTATTGATAATTTCGATTGGCAACAAAGGTTGCAGAAAATTCCGGAAATGGAGAGTCACATCGAGTGACTGTTCGTATACGTACATTTTTACACGGAGTGTCTTTCTTAAGTTATTATATGATTTCGTAGAGTATTTATTACTTGTGGTTAAAACCTCACATAATTGGCAATAAACTTGGTCGTTTATTCGTAGAACACGTGTTTTCTTGTTTTCTCAGCGATTGTTCGGTACCGTATTATACGTACGTATAGTGCTCGATACTTTCTTTGTACGTAAAACGTAAAACATAACGACTCTGCCTGTTTTCACTTTGTTTCTACTCGTTCTAACGATATTTTTCACTTGCTCTTATAACGTATTGTACGAGTAAAAAGCATTAGTAACGGAGACAAATTCTTCAACGATGAAAATGTATAAAAACGACGAAAGGTATTTTTTGTTAGGCGCATCTTCTTCAAATAAAATATTATACTAATATTTTATTTGAATATTTTTATTGAATACGATAAAATTCCATTTTATTACTAATCACGAAGGTTGTAATTAAAACGTCCATTACTTGGTGTTACAAAAACACCAATAATAAAAATAATGTAATGTATATTTGTATAAATGCTGCAAGTTTCGTTTCAATATGATTTCTCATTCGATTTTTCCCACCAGTGTCTATAATTGTTTACAGTGAATGCGTGAAATAAAAATATCGCAAACAATATTTTCATCGCGCTTGATAACCAATAATATACATAAATTGTAGTACACACATTTCTCTTACAAAATATTTGTCCGTTATCGCGAGTAAAGAGACAAGGTATTTTAGAATCTGTGATTAATACGTCGACGCGTATAAAAAGCGAGAAATTTGTGATCGTACCAAGGTGCAAATATTTTTTATACGAATTTGGTGTACACGCTCAAACGGTAGTCGTTCGCGTTTAATGTACGACGAAACAAATTAGTAGTAGAATTACATCGTTTAGACGTTTCTCGAATAGCTAAATTTTCTGCGAATCTAGCACGTTTTATACAATTTTAACATTAATTACACTAAAAACTGACCAGGAATGCACTACGAAAAGAAAGCGATCTCAACTGAAACACTTTACAGTCCATGTAAACAAGTTAAATTCGATCAGCCGATACAAATCTGTCAAATTTTTTTAGAATTCGAAACCTAGGAAATCGTCATTCGTCGTTATAATTCGTATCGCAAATTTCAGTTACACTGTGGTTGAACCAATAATACAGTGTCGATAAATAATTGATGTAATACAGAAAATGTAGCTTATTAAGAAATAGATATGTAGGTAGAATACGTTCACTTTGATAGTTGACGGTATATCTGTTTTGCGTTAAAAATTTACGACATACAATGGAAAACACAGTGTATACTTATTTCCACCCGTTCTTTTGCGATGGTTTCGATGCCAAATGTTGTAGTTTGTAATTTATAAATATATACTTATCCTATTTATAAGTTTTTTTCTTTATACATATACATATACAGGTGTACATTGCATATGTGTGTGTGTCTCTCTCTCTCTCTCTCTCTCTCTCTCTCTCTCTCTCTCTCTCTCTGCGTGTGTGTATGTATATATATTAGTGACTCTTGTAATACTATGATGTGGTATACATATATGCACATGTATGCGCAACACTGATTACTACATAATGTAGGATATATCGGTATCGCTGATAAGCTGTTTCGAAGACGAACGAAAACATCTAAAGAGTATTATCGTATCGGCGTTCGTTATTGTTTTTAAGCCTTCTTTCTTCTAAAACGTACAAGGTGACTTCTGTAGGAAAGCGAGGGAGAATAAAATTGAATGTAACGAGAACTCTTTTTTTTTTTTTTGTTTTTATTCTTCACTAGCGATCTGTCCCGGCTTCGCTTGGGAGCAATTTTAAATTTTCTATAACAAGTTGTTTTTAACCGAGTTCTTATAAGACCTTATAAACGACATTAGTCGTTTTTTCTCTTGACGTTAACGCGGAAAAATTGTTGAGAATATAATTTAAAATATTTTCGCGGCGCCTCTATCGGGAAAAGGCCCAAGTTTCTCCTCGAATAGTTCTTACTGCCGATGCTAGATGGCGCCATTTGTATGATTGAATAATAAATAAAGGATTTAAGGGTTGAAAAATGATTTTCATTCATCTTTTAATAGTACGATGTTTGTCCAGTAATTTGTTTTTGGGAACAATTAAGAAAAAAACTAAACATATACCTGTGTCGATACCTGGTGGCGACTAGCCAAACTAATTTCGGAGTTTGGTCAGCGCCTCTATCGGGGAAACGCTCAAGTTTGTCCTCGAATAGTTTCTCTGTTTAGCGCTAGATGACGCCATTTGCATACTTTTCCAAATGTTGATTTTTTAATTATAGGCAATAACAAATAAATGAACGAACAATGTGATATTAAAACTTAAATGAAAATCATTTTTTAAGCCTTAAATTCGTTATTTTTTTATCCAGGCATACAAGTAACGCCATCTAGTGTTAAGAAAAGGGAACTTTTCGAGGACAAACTTGAGCGTTTTCTCACCGATGGCGCCACTCTAATCTAATTACCGACATTTTAATTATTTGCATATTTTACCTCTTATCATTTTTACAATATGCTTTCTTATATCTAAGTTGAACTTACATGTATACATTTTGAAATGTAGGTAACTTGTTAAGAAAAACCAAAGTTAGTCGTTTAGAATTGCTCGTATAAACTATAAAGCATGTACGTTAACATTTATTTGTTCATCCATACATTCCATATATATCAATTATTCCATAGATTGTTTAAAGGTAGGACTTGAATTCGTACTATGTAGAGAAGAGATGCCGATTAGAGTAGAAGTAGGGCACGAAAAACGAACGACTCCTTTATATTTCCATTTATTGCTGTGTAACTGTACGGATCCATAAACGATTACTGACGATTGTTGAACGATGTAAATTTATGTAAGTGAATATTAATTAATATTCAATAAACTCAAGTAACACTAAATACAAATGTAACAAAAACATGATTTGTGCGGTTTTTTATTCACGAGCCTTATGATTACTCGAAGTAGACGTTTAACAAGTGTCTTAAATAATAGTAACAATTATTTTGAAGTAATATTTAAAAAATATATAATATATAATAATGGATACTACATCTCTAGACTATAATTGTTTCCACAAGTATATTATTTTACGTTTTGAAAATAATAATAATAATAATAATAATAATAATCTTAATATCGTGTCTAAAAATCTTTACCATGAAAATTGTACGCGCGAGTTTTACAAATAATTCTCAGTTTTGTTGTTTCAAGCTTGACAGTACACGTTACCGGCGCGAGCGATTACAACTCGGTCATTGTCATTGTTTACGCTAATGCAATTATTTACAGAATGCTGCAGACACAGACAACATCGAGCAAAATTTGTTTACATATTTGAGAAAATCTCGACTTTTGGACTGTTTTAATAAATTTGATAAGTTTATGGTTAAAATATTATATCGTTTGTTTATTATTTTAGACGCCAACGAGATTGACATCGCTTAAAGAAAACGTTTATATCAGTCACGATACGCAGGAATCAGCACGACTAAAGTAAAAGTTGTAAAAAATAAAAAACTGTAGTAGAAATGAAATGAAATGAAATGAAGTGAATCGAATCATAATTAACGCGTAAAGATGAATTTTCCATAAACCGTGTTAGAAGAGTGATCTTGTTCATTGTACAGCTACATGTATTACGCGTATCGGGTACGCGGTGGACGTACTTTGATTTGTTTCTGAGTGCGAGGAGACCGTGACGTGACACGAAATTCAAGGGGTAAATCGTAACAGCGACAGACGCAACAGCTTGGAAATTTGAACCAATCACTGAAGATACCACGGCACTCGTTATTAGGATCGTAAGCCAGCAACCTGTGGAGTCTGTATTGTTGTTCGCATCTGCATCCATCTCTGCAGTACATCTGCTTGTTTTCGTGTCTTTAATCAAACAGAATACGATTTAGCAATTTGAATCGTATTTGAAATCGGTTTAAATCGAATTTTCATCAGCGAATAACGCCGAATTACTGTCTTATACTTACGTGCATTTTTCCCAATGAACGTATTGTTCAAACGGATAGAGATTCAGAAGTGCCAGTACTTCGCCTCTGGTATTATTCGCCCAGAATGGTGCAACCACCTCCTCTTTTACGGGACAAGCGTTTCTAAAACATTTTCAACGTTTCGAATAAAATTATGCCCATCGGTGGTACGACATACCTTCCAGGGCTGTATTGTAAGTCTGTAAGAGGTTGGCTAAAGATTTGTTTAGGTCGTACTTTTACGCGAGTATTAGATTCGAAATTGTCCCAATTGCACGCATCGAGATCAGAGAACGTTAAGAGAGCGTCGAACAAAAGTGAAACACCCTCGGAGAAAATTCATATCATCATCATTGTAAATAAAACTTGCTTGCACTTACACTCCTCTGAGCTTCAAAACCGGTTGTTCCTGTTGATCTTTCGCGGCAACGTCCTGATACAGCTGGCCTTCCATAGAAGAAGCTTCCGGCTTATTCGCTGGTCGATATTCTGGTCGAGGTTTGAACTGGTGTTGCTCGCTCGAACTAAAAGTCCCGTGAGCGGTCGTTTCTTTCGGCGTGGCGAATAGCTCCCCTGATAGGTTCATGTCAAGTTCAGCCGGTAGTTCCGTGGTACCGGGTAAACTGATCGTAGACGTTTCGTCGAAATCGGCATCGGGAACATCCGACACATTGATCGTTTTCTCCTCGTCGTCCACCACCTCCTGTTCTTGCTCCTCGTCGATCCTGTCGATTTGCTCAGGAATTTCATTGATGCTGAAATTCTGTTCCTTGACGATGTGAGAAATCATCACCGGCGACTGCTCGATCGTTTCCGTCGCGTTCTCCTTTCCGTCGTTGTTTACGCTATTCACCGAAATCGTCGTCGACGGAATGGCCGTGGTGGTGATCGGTTCGCGAACGGTCGAACCTGTCGTCGACGACGTAACCATAGAGGATGATGGCGTTTCCGTGATGGAAGACATCTTTGTCGACGTTGGTGTTGCGATGGTTGCCGTTGAAGCGGTAGATTTTTCAGTTGGTCGAAAATGAGGCCTGGTGTATTCGCTTAATTTTGGAAATTTGTTCAATCGTTGAACGCCATTATCGTTGAAAGATCTGCTCGTGAAGCCACGTCGTTCGTACTCGTCGCTTTGTATCTTTAAATTGGCTTCGCTCTCAAAGTCTTCGTAATCGTGCGTGTACTGGTATTTTCTGAAACGATTCGAACCATCAGTTGGCAATACGTGCTAAGAAAGGAATGAAAGAATGTGCTCGCGAAATATACGATGATACAGAATATTAGAAAATATTCGAGTATGGTTCGGTAGGTACTTGAAAATTTACCTGTATTCCTCGGCAAAATGATGACGACGATCGTCATCTTTTAGTTCGATATCATTTCTCTCGAATTCTGCTCTCAATACGTTAATATGCCGTTCATCTCCGTACATACGTCTCATTAGTCCTTGATTTTCTTGTACGAAACGTCGAACTGCATGCCTGAAATTAAACAAAATTCAATTTCCTTTATAGGAAAAGTCAAAAGCATACGATCCGTATCGCTGGACAAACGGAAAATTTACGTATTATTATAAAACGGTTCAAGCTTAAAATGTTTTCGCTAGAGATCATCGAGAGTAAAAGTACGTCACATCCTCGACATCTCTCAGTTTTATCACGCATCATTTTAATATACTCGTACGATGCCTTTCGTTCCGTTGCTTAACATTCATAGGCGTACATGATACGTTTGAATAGTGAAAATATACTCTCTCCGAATTGTTAATTGGCTTTCTATTGTTTCCATTGGGGGGTAATTTTGATAGAACGAGCCATACGAAATATCGAAGCCGAGTTTCGATAAATCAAAGTACAAGTAAACGTGTTGTAACAGTTACCATGGATAAGCACTGCCAGCAATCGCGCACCAGTTTTGTCGTCGCAAGTCGCAAGGAAGATTTGCGAATCGCGCACGACTGGAACGCGAATACGGTTTGCTGCAAGCCGAGGATGCATCATAACCGAAGGTACTCGGTCCACCACCACCTCCTTGACATCTCACGTGTTGATATGCAATCACCTGTACACCGATAAGATTAATCGTTAATATTACCGTAAATTCTAGTTATCGGTTACTATCTAGTTACTAGTAATAATATCGTAGTCCGTTACTCGAGTTTCAAATAAAGAAAAGCATGTTTTCGCTCACCTGGAGGACGAGAAGCACGATTACATTCATAACTCGCGTTAAACGTTAGTTCGGAGTTTTGGACCAGGGGCCCGGAAGGTCGTCGATCACGCCCGTAGTCCTCGGGCGAATCGTTTTCACTGACGATCCGATTGCTACCGTTAAAAGGACGACAACAGAGGGAGATTCGCGGCTACATGACAGCACCTCCACGCGCGAGGAGAACGCTTTCATTACTGGCTGTAATCAGCCGGCGGCACACGGGGGAACATGAGAACATGCGAATGCGAGGCTCGGTTAGAACTCGGAACTCTGCCGGTTCGCGGTGGTAAAAGTACAGAGTTGTATGTACATAGAGGAGTCTCGTTGGTGAGCGAGCGTTCGACGCTCGCTTGACCGACAACCAAGAGAGAACGAGAGGAAGAACAAGGGAAGAAATGGGAAGACAGAGCACGTCGCCCGGTGAGTAGGTCACTGTTGCCGGTACCGTTACATTTCAGTTCATTGATGTGTGTCACGGGGCCCCACGGTGACGTAGCGAGAGCCCTACGGGCAACGGATACTCCTTTATTTTAATCCATGCTCGATTGGGAGAAAGGTAGCTAGGAACCTTTTTCGAGATGAATACGAGCCACACTTACACCAACGAGAAACGAGTTTACCTACTTGCTCCGGTTCCATCCAGCCAAACTTTTCCCACTAGTAAAACAGCATTTTTCAAGGCTATCGGGATCCTTGAAAAAGTGGCAATCGGTAGGCGAAAGATCCGGTGAATATCGTGGATCAGGTAAACTCGACGACGATTCGCCCCAGAAATCGCTCGTATCTTTTGGTTTTCGTTTGATTCCCGCGGGCCCCATTTTACCCATTTCACCCATCTAACCCATCCAACTGATCTCAACCATTTTACGATTTTACCCATCCTCGTAAACACTGTTTAACGCTTATAATGAAACTTTCCGCGTGTTCCACTGACCTCGAAACCACTGTCACTGCAGCCTCTTTCACTCAAGTTTCCTGCTTTCGTGTTCTACGCCGACGCCTTAAAAAATGCGATGATTATACGCGGTACTAAAAATTGTTTGAAAACCTACGAATGAATTGTAATATAAAATTCGTACGACTGGGGAACGAATCGAGTTGTATTAAGCCAACGTACGTTCGCAAAGATTAGCATTCGCTATCGTAGCGGATTTACATCACGCTAAGAATTCTGTGAAAGCACGATGCTATTTAAATAGAAGCGTTTACGCGTACTTACGTTTCACGTTGTTTTCTCCTTTTTAAAGATGCACCCACTAATGCACCGACGACAGTAATAGTATTACACTTTACCATTCCGTTAGGTGAATAGCATTGGATTATTGGAGCATCGTTTTGCCCGATTGCACCTTGGCAAAATACCAGTTTACCGTGGTAGGCGGTGAACGCTGATACAGGTTCTTGCGTCTTCAGCTACAAGTAGAAAAGAAAGCTGTTTGCCGCGCACCGCGCACCGTGCACGCACATCGATGCACATTGCACACGCATTGACACGCATGCAACATCTTCACCATTACCGATGTTATATAAATTCTATGAAACTATGCACAAAGTGGGGAATGTATGGTAATGGTCTCCGTTCCGAGTTTGTACTTTGGAGATATTTGAAACGAGCCAAAGAAAACAGCAAGTTTAAGAAATATAATATATTTGTTAATCTTATTACATACGTTTACCATAAATTGTCTCATATTTTGTTCAGTTTGCTTGCAAGTGTACAGCGTCGAGTATTGGTAACGATATAATACGATTCGATATGTACAATACTTTCGTTATAGTTGAACGTTATATCTTATTTAGAAATTTACTTTTACCACTTGATATACGTATTATAACTTAATTATAACTTATTCTTACAGATTTATATACACATCGCTTCGTTTTATTATACGTACATATATATAGACATATACATTGTATTATAGACATTTTTAACAGTTTTCCGTTAAGAAAATGCTCGTCAGTCGAGTAGTATACAAATTATTTAAGCGCTACATTCGCACGCATCTTCTTCTACTTGTATCGTATCTTCTTTTTCTCTACGATTTACCGTCTCTTTCTTAAATCTGAGGAAACCTCCCGCGTACCACATGAAAACGCAAGAGAGACTTAAAAAGGAAGTGAAATGAAGAGCACCTACGTAACCGTTCATCGAATCGTGTACCAAACCTTCGAATTGAGAAAGACAGAAAAGCGAAAAATTAATCAATTATTCGCTAGTTACGATTAATAGTAATACCCATCATCTTAACTTTGTAATTATCATTACAACTCGAATAATGTATAACTTTCGATAATAAATTGTATATACCAACTAATTGCGTATCGTGAACAAACAAACAAACAATAAATAAATAAGCAAACAAATAAACAAATAAATAATAACCTTTATTAAAATTAGACGATTTTAAACTACTACACCTATATTTCTGAATAAAGTAACAGCTTACCTATAATTGGACCTATGGCGATAGATAGTATACCGTTGCAGACCATTTGCATTCCAGATGCAGCTGGCAGTCTTTCGAGAGAAACGTAGTCAGGAATGATTAAAGCCTGGAAAACAGCTTTCGTCCCTTTTGCAACACCAATAATTAATGCAACGCAGACGACCGCAACATAGGTGGTTCCCCAGGCCGATAAAACTATTCGATTTCTCAAAATAAAATCAGTTTCTCATTTTCTTGTTTGAAATTATATGGCAGACTACGTACTGGTTCGTCCGAGAGTGGATCCTATCAATGAAAAAACGTAAAGATTCCTGGATGTCCATCCAGCTTTGTGTGCCAAAAGTGGAACGCACAGCCGTCCAGTGATATCCGAAGCGGCTTGGATCGACATCACAGTTGCGATCGAGGTCCTTTCGAGGCCCGCGAGTTCGGAAAGGACGAAAGGAATCATCGCATTGAAATTCGTTTCCGCGACCAAAGACACTCCCATACCTGTTACAAATGCACATTTCTTCAAGAATTTTTACAGATAATTTCCACCAATCGTTATACGATTCTCTAGGTTTAATAGCGAAAATATAATCAAGTTACCTAATATAACTGCAACGTAACGGCTGTCCTTTAAAAGATCGAGATCCAAGTGTTTGAAAATTCTCGACAGAATCTTTCGTTTGCCTTCTGTTCTATTGGCGAGCTCCGCGTTTCGCGATAAAGGTCGCTCGCGATCCTCCGTTTTTCGTTCGACATCGTTGCTCAACAATTCACAATTAACGCCACCGTTTTTTACCTCAGTTTCATTTTCAACATTCAACGATTCGGCTCGTTTTGCAACACCGTTGTCGTTGCACTCTGCGGAAGATTCCGTGATGTCATTGCCCTTTGTTATACTTGTAATCTACATAGTAGAAATGAAATCTGACGGTAAACGTTAATCGTTGTCCTTTTTTACGATTCTATCAGGACAACGAACTAGCAACGCACCAAGAATGCCGCTGACGATAAGATGGCATATTTATTCTATTCGATCTACCTGCTATACTCGTATAGCCTCGTATAGCCTCGTATAGCCAACTCACCTTGTTCTCGTTAAATGGTTTTAATAACGATGCTCCTACGAGCGAATGCATCGCTATTCCAGCAAGAATTAAGAGCGTCCCGGTGGTAGCATAATTCTCTAATAGTTTTGCTATAAGAAGAGGCATCAGAATAGGACCCAGACCAGTCAGTGTTACCGTGAACCCCATCGCCAAATTACGTTTCTTTCGGAAATACGTGTTGAGTGCTAGAGTCGTTGCTGGAAACATAACTCCGTGACCGATACCTAGGCACGATACAATATACAAAGAGTCGATTTTATTAGAGGAGATTTGTCGCGAAAAGAAAAGTGTTTCGCGGACAACGAATTACTTACTCACCAACGATAATACAATAAGTGATAATAATCGAGGGAACAGATACAGCAAACGCAGTCATGCAGATACCAATGGCGACGGTGAGACCGCCGAAGAATCCCACCGTTCGAAATCTGAACCTTTTCATCATTGGCCCGCTTATTAAACCCAGACTACACGTGATCGTTCCATTCAGATGAAGAATGAAGGATGTTTGCGTAGCGGTGATACCGAGTGAACGAAATCGGTCCGTGAATACAAGGCCGTAGCATTGCTGTATCGGAAGTATCGCCAACTGAAACAATTTTATTCTTTATTAGTACATATACGACACATATTTGTCTATTCGCGTTCTACTATTCGAATCCAATTTTCTCTCATTGTCAGCGTTGCTCTCCTTTTACGTTATCAAAAATGTCGTGCGCGAAACACATGTACATTCGGGACCTCACGATATCTCGAAACAAACAACCAACCCAGCGTTTCTCAACCTTTTGCTTCCGAGTTTTACGACAGGACAAAGAAATTATAATTAAAAAAGAAAAGAAAGAAATATAGAAATAGAAATAGAAATAAAAATAAACAGAGAATATCGGTTGAGAAATCGGCTGCACCAGAAGAAATAAAATTGTGAAAACTTACGTTAATGATTGTCACAGCGGCGACGATTACCCATGCCCAACCTCTATCAGTTTCACCGCGTGACATTCTATCGGACATTCGGCTCGATCTTCGGGTTCAAAGTTCCTCGAGAAATTCGAACAACACTTTTCTCTTGTTCGCCTCGTCTTGGAACCGACGCGGCGGTGAACTGCAAACTTAGAGGGCTGGCTAAATACACGACGGGATTGGACGAGTGATAAGATACGTACTTGGTAGCGTGGATAAGTATTAAATACATATGCCCACACAGAGGCACGTGCAAGAATTGTTTGTGATTTTCGAGCTGTCGCGTTGAAACTGGAAATTGATTCGAGCTATACGTTAACGTTTGCATTCTTCTCTATTCATATAATATAGGTATTAAATAGGTTCAGTTATCTATTAGCAGTGTCACATGGACTAACATGTTGCTCTGTATACATATAATTGGTCGATTTTAAGATATCTGGAAAGATTATCGGTCATTTTTCGCTTTGTTATTGTACTTTTCTTAATCGATCGATCACTTACTCGTACGATTGTAACGTATAAATGCAAAACAATGATGTCAAGACACTTTCATGTATTTGTCATTAAATAAATCAAGACAATGCACCGATGAACAGGCGTTACGTACAATCTTTTTCCTTATCTTTTGTTTGCACTTTATATCTGCAGGTTTTAGAGCCTTCGACGCTGTCCGTTGGTCTCATTCTCTTGTCAGACAGGTACACGGAACAATCTTTCTTTTGAAAAAGTTATTCAATATGAACAAATAGTTTGGTTATCGTAAGGCACTGACTTTGATAGAACAATCAGTATTCAAGGTAGCAGAAAGTGTATTTTATTTTAACAGAAATACTAATAATGTTCAAAGTTTGACCTATTGTCTACAAATGTTACATATAAAAATTAGAGTAAAGTGAGCGATCGAGATAACTTAAATAATTAGTACGGTTCAAAGGAATCTTGGAATTGTAAATCATTATCATAAATTTCAACTTTCTTCCAAGTAATATTATTATAATAAATTAACACGTGCGTACGCGTACGTGTTCGAATTAGAAGGAATGACTGACTCGAGACACCCTTTCGTGTATTCTATTTTAGTTGATCATTTAATAATGGTTTAACGACGCGTAATTTGTAGGTTCTCTTATGGCACCGCACCGGTCGGTTTCAGTTATGAGGACGCGACGCCCGCGCCGACGCGACTCGAGGCGACGCGACGCGACGTATGGCGACGTCCGCATGGATATTACTGTATCGTAGCATTAGCGTTCGGTTCGTCGTCACCGTTGAATGCATGTTTCATTAACGACCGACTCGACAGTCAGATCACTATAGATTCGCCTTCCTGTCACTTGGACTCACTAAAAAACACAGTATTTTCCCGTCAAGCACATTCTCGAACTTTTCACCGATAATTTTTACGTCGTGTCTGCGACGAAGCGCAAAAATAGGCAACATAGGTGTACATACATTCATGTTCCGAGCGGTGCCGAGGACTACTCGTGACTGGCTCGACGAAGGGAAGTCGCTTGATAAAAACCGGCTTCGTGACTCGACTTTAGACCAACTCTGGTCTTTGACTCGTCGTACCACGTACATATAGCGTATGGCTTCGTTTACATGCTTCGTTACATTTGCATCGATGCCGACGTCGACGCCGACGCCGACGCCGACGCTTTTACACTACGGGACAAAATGATAGCTAGACAAATAGTTTCTCAAAGTATTCTAAAAGTCTTCGTCTCATTTATTTGGCATTATTCTCGTTACAAGTTTTGTACATGTAATACATGTTCGTAAAGTATCAAAGAGTGCGTAATTTCAGTTTACAAATAAATAATTATTTTTTGTTTATCCATGAAATTCTCGAAAGATCAGTGTGCAGCTTTTCCGTGAAACTGGCAAGTTTTCTCATACTTTCCATCATTCTATAACGTTACTTGGTTCTGTTTGTTTCGCTAAAGTAGCCCTTGTTCTGAGCGCACCGTACACAAATTCGAAACTCCATGCAACAAAAGTGATGGTTATCATGAACGTCATAACGTGTATACAAATGGTATAACTTTGACTTACGTCTCTGATGTATCCTGAAATATTATATACTACATGTATACTATATGTAATTTGTATATGTTGATATAATATGGGATATTATTACAAGGTACCGATTAAAGGACTCAACGTTACAACGAATAAACCCTTGGACACCATGAACATTCCAAAGGCACTGGGCAGCTTTTTCAAGGAACAACATTCGGAGACGCTGAGATTCAAATTCACCAAAGTAGCTCCTCGTAAAAATCCTATTACTACAAAAGTCACTATTAAGAATATTCCTTTGGATTGTTCTGCCAAAACTAAAAGAAAAACAGACGAATAAACAAACCCCTTAAATATTTCGGAATATTGAAATAAACAGCTAATCTTGAAATAAATGGTTGAAAATATTTGACGATACTTACTGGATCGTCCAATTCCTACCAGCAGGCAGAACACCCAGAAGACGGATCTCTTTTTGAATCCGTATCTGTCGAAAATGGTGGGGAGTACGAGTCGAGCAAGAATGTCGGTGAATGCAGTTATCGACAAACAGGAAGCAACTTCCACGTTGGTCATTCCTATCGACCGTCAAGTTCCTTCGAGGAGTCTACCAAATTCCTACAGAATACTGCACGGTCGAACGAAACCCGAAAAAATAACGCGATAAAAGATCGTCCGATTGATGATAATATAGCTGTACATTGTAAAATATCTATACATATACTATTATATGTAATATATTTCATCATAATTTATTGTTTCTAGAAGCTTATTGGAGAGTTTTAATAAGGTTTCCGATTAAGAAATTATTCAGTTTGTTCACCATTTATCGCACTTTTTCACGTTTCGCTCTACCACGTGCCGATGCCGTTGCGAGAGGATGTCAAGTAATAAATACGAGTTCTTCCTACTACAATTGTAACCGATAAGTATGGGTTTTGGATCGATGGATATTATTACTACTCGTTCCGTTGCTTTCATTACCTTGCAGATACAATTGTTGCAGAAATGTTCAGCACCGATTTCTTGCAATAGCAGAGCTTTTACTGTACCGTATAAATTTCAAAGAACCTCGACATCTTTTAATAACATCCTTTCGCTATGGTTCCTTGACAATGTTACTTACCTATACTAGACAGAAAAAACGGAGTCATCAGTTTGAAGTTCGATTCGGCAACATAATACAGACTCAAACCGATGATCACGTTTAAGTAAATGCTATCTTTTAAAAGGTCCAAATCGAAGGTTTTCCTTATCCTCTCGAAGAATGATTGGTCGTGTTTTCCTTTCTCGTCATCTTTCTCGCCATCTTTCTCGTCATCTTTGCCGATATCGATTTTCGACATCTCGATATCATTTTCAAGCTTTTTCCTTGCTCCGTTGTTGTTTTCGCGTAATAGAATGTCGCTTTCAGCTGTCCTATTTGTATCCTGTGTACGGTAAAAAATAGCTTTTCCGAATGATCGCTGTACACACACTACCTATAATAATAGGTACAATAGTAGGTAGGTACATTAATTACAACGTTACCTTTTCCGCAACTTTTCTTTCCTTGGGTTCCAGTGGTCGTAATAAACAGGCACCGACCGTAGAATGTAGCGCCCACGCTCCAACGATCATAGTTGCTCCTCGAAATCCATAAGCTGACAAAAGAATATGTATAAACTGTAAACAACAATGAAAATTACTAGTATAGTGTTGCTACAATATAAATATATTGAAATTATACAACATTATTAATCGATACATAGGTATAAACGATAAACAAAGTTTAATAAATTTGTGCAGGCCTGTTTGTGTTAAACTTTCAAATAAAACATAATATAAATTGGTATTAAAAATTCTATTCCGTACTTGCGGTACCAGCATCATAGCCAATGTCGTGCCTGCCATTGAAAAACCGACGGCTTGCCCTCGTTTTTTATCAAAAAACGTATTTAGTGCTACAAAAGACGATGCGATCGCTAACCCAGTTCCTAAGCCTACGATAAAAGAATTAAAAGATTATCGAATATTGGTTAGCGTTACTGTATTTTTCTAATCGTTAAAATTACATACATTTAAGTGTATATATGGTAATTTTGATAAACAATGAAGGATAAAATAATAAATACCTCCTAAAATACTGTACGTGCAAATAATATGAAACATGCTATTAGCTCTCGACGTAAGTATCAGTCCAGTGCAACTCAAAAGAGATCCGAAGAATGCCACTTGTCTGTATGAATATTTCTTTAATAATGGTCCTATTAAAAGACCTACATTAAAAGAAAACAATCGTTTTGGTGCAGAAAGAAAAAAAGAAGAAAAAATAACAATTCCAATATACGGAATATCGGAATATACTGAATTATAATTACATTTACTTGAAAAATATCGTTTTATAATTATTCCAGTAATACCTGAAAAGTTAACGATGGCATCAAGAATACTCATTATCAATGACGTTCCTGTGGAGTCAATGTCAAGTTCCTCCAAAGGGTCGTGAAAGAGAAGACCAAACGATGGATCCAACGATCTTAAAGAAAGCTACAGAAACAAGTATAGAATGTTTAAACACGTACATATAATAAATAAATAAGAGAAATATAAATAGAAAGAGGAAAAAAACATTAATTAGATATGTATTACCGTAATCAAGCTGCTACCAAGACAAACGAACCAACCCCAACCACCGTCGGGTGCTTTCTTGTTGACGTGGTCAACGGTCATCATCTTTGCTTTTTACCATTAATCGACATAAGAACGAACCGTTCGATCAACGATTTATCGAAAATTTGAAGAAAAGTCAGGCTTCTATTGTATAATAGTAACGTGTCCGAGCGTCACATATCGCGGGATGTAGTTTAATGGTTTAATCACTGTCGCATCGTTCGTTACTTTACGATTCGATCCGATCCGATCCGATCCGATACGTAATCCAGATAGACTGGTCCGGTGTTTCCCTCACTTCTTACTTTGGTTATGACTGACGACTCACTCTCACTTTCAAGCAAACCGATTCGTTCTTCGTCTGCCCCTCTTTGTTCTGTCGACCCATGGAAAAATACGTGTTACGTTCTTTTGCGGGTCTTGTAACCCTGAAAGAATTTTTTCCCCATAATCGTCGCCAATAATTGAATCAACGGCAATGTGTTTTCACATACCGAATACATCGGTACATTTTATTCCTGTATCTTGGACGATGCAAACATGTAGTTTGTGAATCGATTGAAATATCGACTGTATTTTCAATAAATAAACGTACTTTCCGGACCAGAAGACAGTCACGAAGTAAATAACGAATATAGCATTCGCGTGATACGCGTGCGCATACGCACATACTCGTATGGTATGCAAATAATGTATAATTTAGTATGATATAAAGATTTATCAAACGTGATGCATGTGTTGAACAAATTGTTCTTTATTTTCGTCTGTTTATTATCCGGAGTTCCCTTCGTTATACGCAGACCATTTGTAACAGTATGACTAATTAATCACTCGCTGAATTATTCATGACAATAATAACGACTTGTACGTACAGTATAGCGGCGATTTAACATTACTGTTTCTTTCAAATAATTCCCACTCGAATTGAAAAGTATTTGTCACGGTACTAGCAACTAGCAACAATCAACTACCAACATCGCTCTAGCTTGTTATGTACATTGGTGGTAAAAATGATATTATATAATATTCGTTGGAGCACATTAAATCAACTTAAATTATGCAACTGCTGTGTTAGAGTTTAAAATTAATCTACAGAGAAATTTGAATGATTGGATAACGAACCTGGATAATGGAAAAATTGTATGGATTCGTTTAACGGTTCCAAAACTTTGAATCTCACGATGCTTCACCAACTTCAATTGTGCCTGATTATTTCATTTATTTGCATTAGGAAGTATAACACCAGCCAGCAAGCAGCGGTCAGCAGGCAGCAGGCAGCAGGCAGCAAGCAGCAAGCAACAGGTCACAAGTGTTTCGCGAAGCAAATTTTTATTTGAACAGAGCGACGCGCGTACTGGCTTTACTTTTCTTATCCTCGATAACTTACTGCACGAGATATGTCAAAGACGCGTTATGCATAATACATTTAAACCATTGACCGCCTATCGGTACGTTTACGACCAAAGAAGAATGAATCTATAATGAACAATAACACGTATGAAACGAAGGAAACCTATGGAACACGACTTTTCACACCTTTCTCGTTATCTATGCATTATTCGAATAAAGTTTTCCATTCATCTCTAGTTTCGACTAGAAAAAGAACACAGTTGCGCATAGTTGAACGTGTTAAAAAGTATCCGCGATTCAACAGTCGGAGATGAACCGAAAGAGATAATACCGTAACATCGTATGCGAACATTGAAAATATTCATTGATGTAATTGTCCTGTTTGATTTTTTTAACAATCTTACAAGATATATGTATATGTATATGGTATTCTATTTTCTACTGTGAACGAAACGCGTGAATGTAGGTACTTGTATTTCAAGTGAATAGGTATTACCTGGCACGGTTAAGGGTAGCAACTGTGACAAGCAACGATACAAGCCCGGTTCGAATCGATAAATCTACTCGAGCGTGTAAAACGTGTGTACAGTGTACTCGAATTATCCACAGCTGCTCGACGTTTCACTATCGGTATCGCGGTTATCGGTTTCCGTGAACCCTTTAAACATTATTCTCAGGATTCGCGCGTGAAAGCGCACATTTAATCACAGCTCGACGACGTCCCTTTGACTCGAAAACCTATTTCTCGACAACTTATCCGGAAACTTGTCACCGCAGGAGCTCATGAGCGAAAGTAACGACTGACTACGACTACCGAATGTCATTCATCGAAATGACCACGCGCAGTATCGCGCAGCATCCTTTTTCCGAGGCTGCCGACGCGCGATCACGACCGCGACGACGACGCCGACGGCGTCGCGTCGTTCCGTTGTCGCCAGTGGCGCATCCACCAATTTACCATACGAGCTGGAACGAATAAAATCAACTATGAATCGATTTTACTTCAAAGTTAATCAGATATTGACGGATGAGAGAATAGAAAACGCAATCGTGTTAAAATTTCAAATACGCATTGTACGTATTGAACGGATTGTACGCATTGCGGATTGGCTGTTTAAATTGCAAATCGAAAGGCTTTGTCGTCTTATCGTCTCGTTAATGTGATATTATACGTGTACGTGTAGTAATGGGCTCTACCTCGAACGTGATTTTCGATTTATTATTCAATTCGCTAGGAAACTGTCGGATGTTTGGCATACACCGGCTACTGCGAATTAACGAGATTCTAGTTAATAGACGGATAAAGTAGGATTATTTGGTTGCACGTTGCACCCCGTAGGATCCGGTACTGGTTGTCGTTTACGGGCAACTCGAAGGAAGATCGTTTGACCGCGAGAAGGAAAGAACGCGCAAAATGGAGACACGAGAGATTACCGATATCTCAAAGTTGATTCGACCGCAATCGTCGCTGTCGCTGTCGCTGTCGCATTAATTCCGCGGCGTGAGTGGACACGGTCGATTTCTGACGGCATTTTTCCTCTACGATTGTTTTTCTTTACGAAAACGAAAAGTGGCCAATTTAGTATATTATGTGTGGCCAGTGCCGGAACAAAGAATCTCCGTTGGCGTCGGCGTCGGCGTCGGCGTCGGCGTCGGCGTCGGCGAGGCGTATTCCTCGGCAACGTAACGCTCGTCGCGTAGCTGTGTACCTACAAGTGAACGCATGATAGCGGCAGAGTCGATTCTCGCAGTGCTTTAAATACTCATTGAGGTAGTGATATGCATCAGTATGTAAACGTCGACAAAGATTCATGTTCACAATCTTGTGTTAACGTCGAAGCGCATTATCGCAACTGTTTCATGAAAACACAGTCTGCACCACTCGTTTACAGTTTAGTAAGATTCGAATCGTTCGAGGATGGAACAAACGTCTCGATACACGCGTCGCTATTCATCAATTACTTTCAAACTTGTTCAAAGTCGCCTCTACTTGGAACGAAAATCGAATTTCTTCTTTGAAAAAGTTTCCTTCGTACACAGATCTGATTTTCAGCAAATTGTTTATTGTCGCGTTAACGTAGTAGCAACTTGGAATTAAATAATTATAAAACAGATTCTGCGTTATCACCTGTCTTATTGACATTATTACTACTATCAGTGTTACTCTACTTTCCGTTCTGTATTAGAAGCTCTCCAATTTATTTTTGCAATCGAAAGCAGCTCCGAGTATTAAATAAAATGAGCTTTTATTAACCGACATTTTCCTATTTTCAAACAACTAGCAATTATCAAGTTTAATGGTCGAGCTGAACATTTTGCGCATGTCCGCAATTTATTAACGAAACAGAAATAAGTAAGATTTCGATTTCGATGAGAAAACATATCCGATATATGCTCGATAATATTAGAACCAACTACACTGTCCATTTTTCATTTCAATAATAAATCAATGTCACATGGATTAATTAACACGATCACGGGTAATATTTTTTGCTAATGGCTTAAATTACTTGCGGTGCAACTAGCTGCGGTTTCGAAGGAAATTTATTTTTACACGGTAAATGTACTCGGGCGACAATCGGTGTTACAACACTCATTTTAGTAATATTCGCCGAGCGGTTAAGTAACGCAATTGGCATTAAGCAAGTAGCGAAACACCACTAATTAGTTAACGTTGAAGGAGATCTATCACGATTTCGAGTCACGATTTGGATTCTACTTTATCACTTTGAAACGTGATAAACGTATTCGGAACGCGTAAATTCCATTCAATTTTCCATTCAATTATGGGTATGGTATCAATTTTAAACATTGAAATTTATCGGAAATGGAAAAGGGAAGTAGCTTTGTAATAAGAATTCTTTAAATCTTAATTTATTTAAAGTCAACGGTGTATTTTACAAGTTTTACAAGATGACGAATACAATAAGATAAATTTTAGGTATTCCTGCGTATTGGTAATTTCTTTTTTATTGAAATTCTGATGGAAAATAAATAAAAAAGTAATTTATATTTATATGTATAACTACAGATATAGGTAATATTTCGATATTTGTTGTTTACAGGGTAGATACTTGATATACATATATTAATACTACATACATATAGGTATCGTTATCATTATGTCGCAAAGTGTATAACGCCTTATAATTTGCCACCGTGTATCTCGAATGCACGGCGTAATACACGTTTCAGGGGCAGGATATAACCGGTAAATCTGTTCACGTACGAGTACAGGCTAGGTATAGGTATACAGTACCATTATCTCATTTACTTCCAATATACAGATCTGCTTTTCGTTATCTGCTTTCTGCTTTCTGATTTCTGCTTTCTGCTCGAGTTCGTATGTATATACCACATGTACATATCATAGCGAAATAGAAATAACAACTGTAACCGAATGTTCAAGAAAAATGCATTTTATTTACTTGGATCAAATTTATCGCACCTTGTAGTCGTCTAATAATACGAGTTAAAATAATTTCATCGGTGTGTTCATGGCTTGCAGCTAAACGGAAATAAGGATAGGACAAGTAGATTAGAAAAAAAGAACGAAAGTGAATGGAAACAACGATGAGTTAGTGTATTGTGTATTATTCGGTTGTTAAAGGTACCGGTTCAAACGATTCTACAGAAAAATGTTGTGAAATTCCGTTTACGATACGTTTTCTAATTCCAGATGTTACGATAGCAATATTTCATTCTCCTTAAGGATTGGTGCTTAGTACGGTGACATCGTGTATGTACATAGATAAGAGAGTCTCCAAAATCATTTGTATTCAGTTTCGTTCAGTCAAAAACCACCCAGCTGACTGATACACGCAGTGTAGAATTTCTTAAATCGAACCGTCTCTTCTCTCCACTCTTTCGAACAAATCAACAACTTTGCGGTGGTAAGGTGATGCTAGTTTTTCATATTATAGTAAATTATGTCTTGTGCCGAATCCTGTCTTGGTTCAGTCAAAATAATCGCGTTAAAAAAAAATCGAATCGAAAGAAAAGTCAATGCGTTTGTTAAAGTAAATTAATGAAACTTGGGTTATACGTAGTAATTATCGCATATTAAAATAGTTTCCGAGCAATGTGTTTAGAGTGTAGAAAACTATGACGGTAGCTAAAACTAATGGAACAACGGCAATGACAACAACAACCAACACTTGTATCGATCATGAGAAGAAACAACAAAGTAATGCGTTACTATTATACAAAGAAGAGGAAAAAGAAAAGGATGAAATTACGCTAGAAGACTTGGCTCCTGACGGTGGTTGGGGATGGATGGTGGTGTTGGCTATGATATTAGTATTCGTTAGTATAATTAACTTGGAACCATCTTCGACAATTTCAATTTAACGTAGAATATGGAGTTTAAGTTTGTCACCATCTCTAGTATACGTATAATGTAATTTTAGTTAATAAATTATTCAATTCATCTGATTCGTTCTTTTTACAGATTACAACATTTGGACCAACCGCATCGTTTGCAATTATTTTCGGTGATTTTCTTGAAGCAACTGGTCAAGCTGGTACAGCAATGACGCTATTTAATTCCGTTTTCATGGTTACATTTTCGATTGCTGGTAAGTATCGCAAGCTGCATTTGTTTCTCGGTGTAGATCCTTCGAAACGAACATAACAACGATAACGCGTCATTGAGTAATTTTATCCGTCGCGCCGCGCCGCGCCTCGCCGCGCCGCCCCCGTTCCAAGATCTTTTTACTTTTTATGCTTCTGTATACCGTATACCTGTACGTGTACGTGTACGTGTACGTGTACGTGTACGTGTACGTGTACGGCTGCACGACATTTGCTACTGATAACACATATTCGATTCCGAATAAGTAAGTGTACCCATAAGTGTACGCTGCTTACTTTTTAAACCATTTTACATAACTGTTGTTTATTTCAAACAAAATAATTCATTCTTAACGAGGTAACCTCTATCCATTTACAAATGTTATATATACATACGTAACGTGTAAAAATGATTCGTTTCATATACTATATGTATGTTTGCCCCAGTACAGGGGTTACATCGATAAATAAACGATGAAATAACTATATGTATATCAAATACAGTTACAAATGTTATTGTAATGTCAATTGTGTAATAACACAAACAGGTATTATTTGTACATCGACTTGCATAATACTTTAACCGCTAGAGGCTCGTAATACATTCTGAACATTTCCCTGCAGTACTGTACACATATACATAATAGTATGTATCTATACAATATCGATTACGATAAAAAAAATATGCAATATTATATGTGTATTCTAACTGAGATCAATTCTACATCATTTAAATGAGAGCTAGCTAAGCGATTACATAGATATATTGTATGTACATAGATTGTCAGATGTTGAAAATGTTACCGATAAGGCACCTGTAATTCAAGAATAGTTGTTCATGTAAATCTCCCGTAGAATGGTAGGCGCCAGATAAGAATGACATGCCATTTTTACTTTTGTTGGAAGATTACAAATACGAAAATTTACGCCAAAGATTGTAATATGACACAGCAAAAAAATGATTTCTTATTATTATCGTAATTTTACAATAATGTTCAACGCCAAGGTGCATATCGGGATTGTCGCGATACATATAGTACGTATATACAAGTACATGTATGTACATTGTACATAGACGTAGCAAGTTGTTCGATGTCTGTTTCTGGTTTTTAGGTTCTAGCCCCATTGGTATTTCATTCAAACATATATATATATATATATATTTTGTTATCAAGTTTGTAACGTACACAAGAAAATAATACTAGCGAGTAAAGAGTTAACAACAATTGACTTTTTGCGACAGGTTTGATGACCAACATTTTATTGAAGAGATACGCGATGAGGCCTGTAGGAATTTTCGGTGCGTTGATGTTTGCATTGCCGAACGTGGCTTTAGCATTCGTTAACAACGTGTACGAAATGGCATTTTTAAATTTCCTCCAAGGCTTGGGACTCGGTCTGATCATTACCATTTGCAATACGAACTTCAACGCTTACTTCGTAAAGAGAAGAGCGCCGGTACGGAAATGCAGGGCTGATGGCCAGCCTTCTTCTAGATAGCTATATTCTGAATTTTTTAGAGAAATTCTTCGTTTCCAGATAATGAGCGTAGCCCAAGTAATTATCGGTTTAGGTGGAATCGCGTATCCTGTCTGCATAGAAAGATTGATGAGAGCCTATGGTTTCCGAGGTCAGTTGACAAATATTTCAAACAGACAACATTCTAGCCGAATATTAACTTTATTATTTTCTTTAAGAGGAATTGTTTAGTCGTGAAAATAACGATGGTCGTTTTATGATTTGTCAGGCACTGCATTGATGACGGGCGCGATGAGCTTAAACTGTATCGTCGGTATGACGATGATGCATCCAGTTGAATGGCACTTGAAGAAACCGGAACAAGTACGCGCGGAACGGGCACGTCAAAGAGAAGAGCGGAAATTGTGCGGAATAGCAGCGTTGAGTCGTCGTTCCAGCGAGGTTACTCATGTTCCAACGAAAACTAGATGGAGCAGTTTAACGAGTCTCAAGGATGAAAGAGGGAAGCATTTGCCGCTTTTAGTTGAAACGTTGAAAGTAAGTTTTTATTTATATGTGTCATTACACACGAAATCGATCGCTTGTCAACCTCTATGTCAGACATTTCATTTTTACTGCTGTTTGTAATTTTATTCCGAATGAATGAATGAATCGCTTTCTTTTCCTTTTCCTTTTCCTTGTTCACTTTCAGGAACCTGCGCAAAGGGTAGCTTCGATATCGGAGCTCGAGGGGAAAATTTGCAGTCGAATGAAATCTGGATCGATGCGTGAACTTTTAACGAGACGCATGTCGGCCCTCTCGGCCTCGAGTTTGGCAAATTTAGTGACAAGTATCGGAGCCGTAACAGACATTGCACATTACGAGAAAACTAAAGAGAAACGATTGGAGAAAGGAGTTCAGGTGTCTATGAAGGATGTAGACGATACCGACAAGAGTCAAGTAAAGTACGTAAATAAAACATTGCATGTAAAAAGTACAAGTGTATCGATGATAATGTATTTTAAACGACGCAGAAAAATCTTCGCAGAGCTTTTGGAAATGTCACTGTTAAAAAACTGCGGTTTCATGAACATTTGTCTTGGCGTCAGTTTTGTCCTGTCGAGCGACTTTACGTTCTCCGGTCTGTTGCCATTGATGATGGCCAACCACGGACACACCAAAACCCAAGCAGCCCTGGCGATTACTATCAGCGCCGCTGCAGAATTAGCATCAAAGATTTTGATTGCTATCTTCACGTTGGTAGTAAAAATCAAAGCGAAATACATCTTCTTCTGCGCCATGATTTGCATGGCGTTTGCAAAAGCGGGTCAGTAATACTATCCGATTAAAAATTGATAGTGGTTTCATTGGTTCTTGGATAAAAAATATATTGAGATTAAAGCGTTTTTAGCGGAACACGATAAAATCAAAATTTAATGGTATTTTGTATTCGCAGGTTACTTAATTTACAGTGACACCTTGACAGGGACATTTGTCATGATAGCGATTATAGGAATGGTTAGGTCATGGTTATTAGTTCCTCAACCATTGGTCATCATAGAAGATGTCAGTATCGATAAATTCGCTTCAGCGTATGGAATTGCTGGCGCTAGTAGCGGCGTGATTTCCATAGTATTTGGTCCAATCGTTGGTGAGCGAATGACATACGTATAGCGTACCTATACAGTAGATAGAAAATCAGCATTTTTCGATAAACTATCCTTAAACAAAGTTTATCCTAATAGCGATAGAACGAGTCGAGCGAAATCATAATATGAAAACAAACGGTTTTAGGACTGATGAAGGACTGGACCAACAGTTTTGTCATCTGCCAGCTTGCCCTTATACTAATGAACGTCCTGTTTGTTATTCCGTGGGCAGTACAGTTCCTTTCAGTAAATTTACCAAAGAGGAGGAAGGAACGGGCGGATAAAATTGCTGCCGAAACTTCCGGTGCCCTTTCTGCCGATTCATGCTAACGAAGAGAGAAAGAAGAACATCTTTGTACATACATAAAGTGCCTAAAGAATATTTGAAAGTAGTTTTTTCTTTTTTTTTCTTTTTTTTACAATAACAACAAGATATACATAGACATAGATTTGTTTGTAAAATGCGATCATGATACCTTTACGAATGCTTCTTTTTCTAGCTCTACTCTAAAGTATCTTTCACGAAACTTGCAGAGATTGTACAGTTATCGAATAAAATTCTCTTTATTTCGATGTATAAATTATCACCGCAATATTATAATAATTATTTTACATGTACACAAAGAGTTTAATAAATATTTTCTATTCGTATAAAGATCCGTTGTTACGTTTATGCTCTATATTTACAACTAAAGTGATACACTGACACGTTACGAAACACCCCACTTAAATAAATTTATTTCAATAACCAACCGTACGTTTCAAATCACTTGATAGCTTATAGCTTATGTCTATAGTATATGTATTATTATACACATGTAAAGATTATAATATGTCTCTACCGTATAAGTAACGAAATTACATAGTATATTGCTACATATTATTTCAATAAAATCCATTTAAATACTAAAAGGAAAATTCCTTTCCTACTTTCTAGTCGAACAAGTTAGTTTTGCATTTTTCTTTTGCAATCGACGCCGGTCGACAGTGGTCGCTTATTCAACTTTCATTTTATGCACCGATCTCTTCGCTGCTTTTATTTCGAGGCTCGATTTTTATTCGGAAGCCGTCTACTCTTTTCAGAATGATGTCAACCTTCAGCCGGAAGTCCTTTTCTGTAAGATCCGACTGGATCCTGTAGTCCCTCAGGATCGTCGACAATAAAACCTTCAACTTCAATATCGCGTACTTCCTTCCCACGCACGATCTACGCAAAGCCACCATTGAAAAAGTACTTGTACTTGTACTTGTACGTACTTTGATATATTGCGAATGTCAACTGTTATTTGTTTAAATAAAAGAAAAGAAATTTCGAAAACAATAGCTATAGCCGCTTACGTAATAGTTTTATCTTACCTGGGTCCTGCACTGAAAGGTATGAAAGAATAGTAATGCCTGCTTTGCATTCGTTCTGGCAAGAAATTGTCAGGATTAAATACTTCTGGATTCGGATAGAATTCTTCTAATCGATGGACTTTGAACGGTGCAACTACGACTGTACAACCTTTTGGTAATACGTAATCTTTCGTCGCTGTGAAAACATTGAAATAACATTGTCAGTCTCAAAGTCTCTTTAGTACTACGATATCTCTATCAACCAGTGTAATCGTGTTTAGTACGAAACACTCTAGTTCAGAGTACGAATACTCTTCTTGTTGTTTCCTACTTTTATGTATCTACATAAAATTTACCAATTTTTACGTCTTCCTTAAGTAGCCTCGCAATTGCTGGTACCGGTGGAAAAAGCCGAAGAGTTTCAAAAATTACCCTTTCCAGGTATTTCATTTCTAAAGTATCTTGAAACGTGCAAGGCCGGTTAGATCCTTTGAAAATTTCATTCAGTTCCTCGTACACCCGATCCTGTTAGTCGTCACGTTAGACATTTCATTAAATAAATTCACTCAAATATTTCATAGAAAAGTTACGTATGGATTATTGACAATAGCTATCGACATGGAGCGCAATCGAGTTGTTTCGCTTCTGCAACTTGAGATATCTACATACGTACACGAAAACTAGCTCCACCAATCATTCTTCTATACCTTATGGTGTACTATATGTATATAGTAAGCGAATGAAACTATGAACATGATATGATAAACATCGACTCGGACAAGTTACACTTAAATAACATGCTACCATTACACGAATGATTGATAGGATAACCTTCGAGATTAGGGATATTTAATATTTTTGGAAATATGGGAGACGCGGTTCACGGAAAAATCCTATTCGTAAAAATGTGCGAAATGTGTCATACCAGTGATCAAGGTGGTAGACACAGAGTAGGTCCAAATCTTTACGGAATTATGGGCAAAATCTGCGGCAGTACGTATTCGATGTACATATTTCATTAAGAATTGAGAATTGAGAATTGAACAATATATATCTGAGTTCCGTATAAAAACTATAAAGAACTTTGTTTTATACATTTACAACGAGTATTCGTAACATGGAAAATTACTGATCGCGTTACATACGTAGGTTATACGTGTAAAATAATATATTTATTATTTAGCTACTCCTGGTTTCAACTACACCAAATCAATGAAAGAAAAAGGTATCGTATGGAACGAGACCACGTTAGACGAATACTTGGAATTCCCCAGGACTTTTATCCCCGGTACAAGAATGGTATTCAACGGTATAAGAAAAGCGGAAGATCGGAAAGACATAATTGCTTATTTAGCAACGTTGAAATGAAAATGACGAAAAATGCATGCTTCGTGCGAAATAATCTACAATAAATAATGTACAGTATTAAAAGAATGTATCATCTACACCTAAAGCGTTAATTTTTAACGACTCGAATCAGAGCCCATTTTATAGTAAACGTTTACCATGTATTTACTATTTATAAATAGATCGGATGCACAAGTATTCGATTTCACTTTTATTTCACTCACCTGAATATCTTGATGAATACCGAGTGCACAGAGAACGAAACTGGAGCCTGCAGCTGTGGTGTCGTGTCCCTAAAAATGATTAATAAAGGGTATTAGTAACAAGGTTCGGGTACATGTACGTTTTCCATGTACAATATCGTCGAATCTATAAGATTCGCAGTCCAGTAATAAACCATTGTCAAGATGATCCTATCGGGCAGCTTTCGAATAGACACGGAAATGTCTTTAAAAGTTAGGTAAGCGCTTCGTTTACACTTTAATAGATTTTCTTTTCCAAAGACAACCAACAAGACGAACAACAACATTTTCTTTGACATTACTTGGATTACCTCGAACATTATCGTATCGACTTCCTCTTTGATTTCCTCGTCGGTTAGTTGTGCACCACTTTTTGCAAGTTCTAGCATCAGATCCAAGAAGGCCAGCCTCTTCTTCTCTCCGATATCGTTGTCGTCGATGTCGTCTAGATCGTCTCTAACGTAGTGCATTTTCGTTCCTCGTTTATCTTTCTCCTCAGTCTTCGAATCATTATTCTCTGCAGTTTCGTTCGTCTTTGCGTTCTCCTTTCGCTTCCGTTGTTCATCTCCAGCATTCAAGCAAATCTTCTTGTAAGCGTCTGCCTTTTTCTTTTGTATCACTTTCGAGGTTAAACCGTGAATGGTATCGAGTAGCTTCTCTTGTTGCTTTGCGAAATATGAGAATTTAAACAGGAAATCGAATCGAAGGTTCACATGGTATTGACGTCGATGAACTATGTCGCACATCCTGTGTTCGTAAAAGGACATGAACAATAAATTAAGAATCATCTTCGTATATGGTGCTTATGTCTGAGCATTTGCGAAAGGATAAACTGAACTAAAAATAGACTCGGAAAATTTTATTTTAAATAGGTAAATGCAAGTAAAGTGAAGTAAAGTAAAGTAAAATAAAATAAAAGGTTCCATTCCGTGAACAATAACTTATAAATTAATGTTACGTTACACTTTACGAACATAATATTAAGATAGAATTGTTGCAACGAACGCAAACGGAGATTGCAAATATGACGCTTACTTCATTACAGCCATGGCATAATCGTAACCAGTTTTGTGTTTCTCGGTCTCCTTTAGCCCCATCGCTGTTTCTAATAAAATGTCAACAGTGACTGCTGATAAATAATCGTGACAATCGAACTCCTTTCCCACTTGGTCGCGTAGGCGTACTACCAAATCTCGGCTATTTTCATAAAACAACGGAACGAACGTTTTTAATACGTTTAGATGAAACGTAGGTGCTATGATTTTTCTGTGGCTTCTCCACTTTTCACCACTACTTATCAACAAACCATCTCCCAGCCAAGGTTTGAAGAATCTGAAACGTTCAATATGTACGAGACATTTTTTGAAGCCAACAAGCCTACTTTTACGTGTCATCGATGGGTGGAAATCCTAAATGCAATTTTCGAATAGCTGATCCTTTATTTTCTATTACTACTCGAGCTAATCACCTGTATTCTGGAGATTTATCGATATGAACCGTGCTGCTGAGAATAATTTCAACATCGCGGGGATGATATAGAAAGATGACTAATTTTTTTCCTAGAAAAGCACGAACCACCGGTCCAAACACATCGTACTCTTCCAGTTTCTCCAAAACATGGTCTGGATGAACACCAAGAGTTAATAACGCGTTTCCTAAAATTGGCACTGTCTGTGGTCCTGAAACGAGTCGAAGCAGATTTATTAAAATACCAGAGAAATGGAATAGGATTTTTTCCTACTCTATCCTAATGCTTTTATTTACATTATCGGAATGAGAGAACGTGCAATGTGATTACGATGTCATTAACGTTACGTACCTGGAAGTTTGTTTCCAAAACGAACTATTCGTAAATTTTCCATATAAACGTAAACGCCAGACAAAATTGTAGTGATCGCAATGAGCGAATAGAAAACCGCAGTTTGCCAGTACGACGTTGACATCATTATCGCCTCCATCTTCGATGACACACTCGTGAAATGTTCGTGTTCGACAAAGGTGATATTCTGAAAGTATGTACAAATAGTCTGAAAAAGAAAAACTAAACATTTTCCTTAAGGAAAATTATCCGAGTATATTTTTCTTCTTTTCGTCTACTTTAAACGAATTTTTTGCATTTTTTGCATATTTTTCTTTCTTTCTTTCTTTCTTTCTTTCTTTCTTTCGAATAAAAATGAACGATATCAGCTCTGATATCGTTACAAATATTTTCGGAAACATTACATATCGAAGCTAGTGTGTACATGTATCTATTTAAAAATATTAATAACGTACGATTACAACAACAAATTTAGGAATAAGCCACTATTTTCAGCTTTGCTAAGGGTATGCTAAGAATTTAATGTTGATTGTTCACTGTACCGAATACCTCTACGCGTACCACGTTACATGCGCTGAAATCCACGAACTAGAATCGCCGTAGCATCGACAGCTTTTATATCACGAATATACGTAAAACTTTCCATTCTTTTAAATTAATTATACGATGACCTTATGTATTCCTGCGAAGCATTTGCTTCGCAAATTATCACTGTGTTATATACCAGCATTAATCAATAATAGCTGTATAAAATAACTGTTTGAACTGATCAGAATTTACCGAGCGTACGTGCTCGCGTTAATTATACCTAGGAAACATAGAAAAAAGATAGGACTCGAACAGAAATTTATTTTGTCGTTCGATAGTTTTAACGATCTTTCATTTTGTTTATTTCCATATTAATCGTGTAAGTTTCGGTTTGTATGTCGATGTACTTGCGCGATATAATTACGCGATAGGATTACCTATTAAGGTACCTATTATCTTCTAGTTAGGACGAGTTGTTGTTTTCATCGTATCCCTATAAATTGTTAGTAAATGAGAAAATGGTGTTTTTCTGTATCTTGTCGCAAATGAAAATCTTCCATAAATATTAAGAGGAGTCATGAAAATATATACATATGTATATCGTGAAGACTGAACATTCTAAAAGACGGTTATAACGATCGCTCGTTGATCGCCGAGGTGGAAACAAGTACTTCCGGAAATGACGTAGCAACCTGCTTCACCCCCTGCATGGAACGTGTCCGGAAATCAACCCTCGAGGATAATAAAAACGTGTAACAAGGAGGGAGGAAAAGTGACAGAGACGAAGAGAGAAAAGTTCCCTTTGTCGAGGTAGAGCGAGCGAGCGAGCGAGCAGGACCAATTTCACGAAATGATCGATAGACGCGAAATGAAGCAACCACTGGCCCATGGCGCGGCACTCTTCACGCTTCCTGACCAACTCGATTACTCTTACAAGATACTATACCTATCATTGACTCACGTCGCGTGTCGCGTGCGTTGTGGATATCTATGTATATCATATATTCGTACCTCCGAATACGGTATATGTATATCTAGACTCGCAAATGCTACGAGTACTGCAATTCCGTGAAAATACCTATCCTCGACGATTAAATACATTGTAAATATATGTATATTATATATAAAATTCATTGTAGCGTGACGTTTGACAATTATTTACCCAAGTTTTTCACATTGTTACTTGCAACGTATGCATAATTAGAGATCAAATTACCTTAGCATTATAGTTATATAAATTGTAAACCAATTGCAGAATAAATATCTCATAAAAAGAAACGATAAGACAATAGCGTAATCAATGATCGTTACTTACTTACCGTCGATAAATAAAAACTTGTTTAAAAATGTACTGTTTGTTGACATTGATACAAATAGATGCAATTTAATTAAATATTCAACAAAAGCGGATGTTACCAAATGGTAACGAACGAATATAACCGACTCTTCGAAATTAACTTTGCGTAAAGAATAATTATTATTCGCCGCGGAAGTGAATACCGAATGTGCGTTGCGAACCCATACGTAAATCCGCGAAATCTTTATTATTTCTTAATTTAAATACACTATAATGTTACACGCGCGTACTAGTATTTACCAAAATGTTTCTATTAAATAGGTATAGAATAGTCGTATAACGAACCATCGTTAAAAAGAGAACTTTTAGAAATACGAATCCTTCTGATCTCGAAGGTATCGTAAATAAATGGCACCGTGCGATCGTATAAATAATAAAATGTATTTTAAATATTTCGTAAAAAGTATTACAGTTGATACAAGTAAAAAATGCTTAAACTACTCTTAATCAAGGCACTTGTATTTACAAAGTTGTTACTCATTGTACTGCGTAAACGTCGAATAATTTACTCGACTAATTCGTCGTCATGCAACTGTCTCCTTTGTATGATCGCGTAAACGTTTCTTCGCAAGCTACAATTAAATCGGGAGTGTTGCAAACTAATTGCATTGTTGTTAACTTAAGTTTTAGTTTACAAATAATCTGTAATCTTTATCGTATCGAAATGGCAGTAAAATATATATATCGTATACAAAAAGAAACTTGTATAGTATATACTATATATATACTTTGGTGTAATAATTGTAGCGTAGTCGATCGAGAATGTCCAAGTAAAATCGATAACGGTATTATACATTTTTGTGTTAAGTAATTCGTTTCTCGTTATGTACTCCTAATACCGAACGAATGAGTAATTCATCTAAATGTATACCATTTATCTTGAACGTGATGCATACCGATCAAGTTCAAGATGCAGTTAATCGAATAATACAATCGCGAGAATAATCCGTTTTTCCTTGGCACGAAAAATTATTTTTCCAAAGTGCATCGACTTACATACGATCACACTTGCTTTTAATGGACGACGCTCTAAATATAAATAGCAAAGAGTCGCATAAATACTCGTTACAAAATATCAAGTAGAAAAAATAGTTTTATCCTTTGTTAAGGTTCGACTTAATTTTAGTCAAGGCACTTTTACACGCACACGCATCGTTCGATCCTGCTTTTCATCGACAAAACGTTTTTTCCACTTGGTTGCCCGATGAAAAGCTTTTTCGATTCTTGCCCTATCACCTTGCGATAATTTGTGTATCGTTAATACAAGGA